CTGGATGGAGAAACCTGCCTTGGTTTCGGAGGAAGTGGAGAGCTACATCATGGTAAAACACAAAACATAAAGGCAAAAATGCAGATTCAATGTCTGTGGCTGTGCAGGTGCAGAAGAAGAATACTTACAGGAAGAGAAGTATTGCTCTTGAGGCTTTAGTGTCAATTACTCATTAGTTTCCAGACAATCTACTGATAGATTGTAAATATCTAAAGCTGGTTTGAACAGTTGATGATGAATCATATACAGACTGACCGTCACTAATGGCTGACTGTGTATGAGCTGCCAAATATTTGCATAGTCTTCGCGAGGGAAGATACAAGTTAATGATTCCGCCGTGGCAAAGCACACCACCCTATTGTAGGACACACGGTTTTCACACATGGTGCAAAAAAAAATTTTTTCTTGCAGCAATCACCACCACAATAACACGATGAATAAAGATAAGCAATGAAAGGTCTGATCAAAAATAACAATAATAACACGCCCAGTAACATTTACGTCTTTAAAGCATAAGTTAAGCATGGCACTGCCCCAAGGCATGCTGGGAGATCAGAAGAAGGGCTGCACAGTTCTTGCCTGGCAGTCAAAAAAAAAAACTCCTCCATCCTCCTCCTCCTCGTCCATCCTCCTCCCTCTCCATCCTAACCTCCTTATAAAAAAGCTGTCCAGTGAGTAAGTTACCAGAAGGGCCTCCACAGCCTGTCACTCCTTCTTCCTCTGCTCCAAACAAAGCTTCAGCGAAAAGAAGTTCACCCCTGGTGCTAGTGATGTGGCGAGACTAAAGCGTGGATGAAGCGTTGAAGCTTTCATGGTGCTTCTGTGCCATCAAGTGGACAGACAACAATATTAGCTATGATGAATTATTTAAGTATCTATGAAAGTATATATGAAAGAAATTTAGAGTAGCAGAACTGTGGGAAACTGAGGAATGAAAGAACATTTGTCCAAACCTGTAACTGGTATGACATCCTTTCCCCTGTGTTGTGTTCTGTGAATGTTTTTGTATGAGTTGGATGTTTGTGTTGGTAGATGTTGAGAACATATTTCTGCAGATTTGATATTCTTATAATATAATCCCATATGTTATTGAGACACAAGCTTTAAAAACTAAATTGCAACCTAACTAGTTTGTTCTGCTGAGAGATGCACAGCTGTATCAGTCAATCAGTCCATTGTATTTGTATAGCCCATATTCACAAATCACAATTGCAATTACAATGTTTGGACTGCTCACATGTTACCAATTCATTCTTTTAGATAGTCATGTTCCTTGAATCTAACCTAACATACATATTGAATGTTTTATAAAGGTAACTTGGTATAAACCTTACATGGATGCTATACTTTTGGTTTTACTGTCACTGAGTCTTCAATAACTATCATCTGTGTTATCCTTAGGCAGTCACCAGAGGTCAACAATTGTTCAGGTAGCTTCTGTATCTCTATTCTATGAATGTCCTCTTGAGTGATGGGCTTGTTTAAGGTGGCGGGAGAGCTGAACTAGTGGTGGCTGCTGCTGGGTTATTGTCCCCTCATTGTATTCAATGTTAGTACTGTCATGCTATGCATGCTCTTTGCTTTCTCGAGGACTTTTGAATAAAAGTTGAGATAAATGGCTTGCTTGCTTTGCTTTCCTTGTCTTTTTTAGCTGTTGTTATGCTGCTCCACCGCATCATCATTTTTTGTTGTTGTTTTTCTTAATCCATGTTTGTACCAAGGTGCACACACACGGACAGAGGTGGTAAGAATATCCTGGTCCTCACAATGCCAGTGTGCAGGGTAAATCTGTAAAATGTATAGTATATGTAACACAAAAACACAACCAATTTCAAAAAATTCCAATTCAAAACTACTTTATTTGTAGCCGGAGGGCAATTCTAAGGCAAATAGAGCATGTAAAACCAGGAAGAAAACAATGATGACATCAGTGCAATGTCCATGGACAGTTAAAAAACAGTGCAGTATGCAAGAATGATAAAGTAAGAAAGGTGTCTATGAATATAAGAGGACAGTGAACAGGATGAAAACTGATTGTAAGAACGTAGGATAAAAGTTCCTCATCTCTTCTGAGTCCTGCAGCCAGTGTGTTGGAAGAATCTGACTCGCTAACCTTCATGTCTACTGCTCATAGATATTAGTGAGGGATCTTAGCAACCGGTTGAAAGAGAACCTCAGAATTGGGGTTTATTGCCATTTAAACATTAAAGGACTTTGCTGTAGTATATTTGTGCAAAGTAGGAAACAAAATTTTATATAAAAAATACTATAAGCACCAGGGGAGGGATGGTGCAATATGTTGTAAACCTGTGGTAGCCTTCAAAACTCAAAAGGTGTTTAGTTTGTCCAGTTTGGACTACAGAGGACTCCGCTTAGAGGACTCGCTCCTGATGTAAATATGAAGTATTTAAATATAAAGGGCCCATTCTTGGGTAAAGAAAACAACAATTTGTACAATTTAGATGAAAAACACTTGTGAAAACATCACTATGATTATAATACATTTCATTTCGGACAATAGATCCCTTTCACCTAAATCTTCAAACTGGACCTTTAAAGGAGACTGGACTAGACAGGCGACTATGTAATAAATGGAGATTTGTTTGCCAAACAGAGTTGACTTATGGTCAAACGTTCACAAGTGAGCGTGAGTAAAGACACAATTGATGAATCCGACAGGAAACTTTGGGTGACATCTGTAAATCAGTGGGTCCAGTGGTCACTCTGGAAGGTAGGGGGAGATCTAACAGCAGTGGGCAGGGACAGCTATGCTGTGAATGTGCCAGAGTGGGGAGAGTTAGTAAAAGTATATTTGAAGAAAGGAAGAGATACAAAGAAAGTATCGCTGGGATACATGTGAGGGAATAATTCCAAAACTGATAAGATGCTTCAACTGTAAAGGTTTGGTCATACCGCTATGAAATGCAAAGGAAAAAGTAAGTGCAATAGATGTGTTGAGGATCATGAGTATGAACAGGGACGCAACCAAAATGTTGTAACTGTGGAGGAAATCATAGTGTAGCATATGGATGATGTGAAGTAATGAAAAGGGAGGTAGAGATTCAACAGTTCAGGGAACAAAACAAAATCACATATGCAGATGCTGTCAAGATGGAGAACCAGAGGAGAGGTACAGATTGAAGATACACGAATGACGAACAACACATTTAACAGTAAGTCAACCAAAAGAGAGCAAAGCTTGGGTTGATTGACAGAAGCTAGTCACTTTTACAGCAGGAGTCATAAATGCTACAATAGAAACCAAATTAAAAAATGGAAAGAATACAAATAATAGTAACACAGCTGCAGTTTGAAGTAGCTGGGCCCGAAGTTGTTCCTATAAAAGAATCACTCACTCACCTGACTTTTATGCTGTCTTGCTTGTTTCTCTTACATCCAACACCATCCCTGCAGCACACACACACTTCATCCATGCATCCACGCACGCTCACTACTGATCCCACTGATGAACACACCTCATTACCTCCTTAGGTTTTGTTATGTTCGTTGTCTGTCAATGGAAATTTAAATAAATGACTTATTTCTTTGACTTTCAACCAGGGTCTCCCTTTCTTTTGTCACGGCTTCTGAGCTGGGTCGTGACAACAGGCAAGCCCAGAGGTAGCATGGGTTGGATAACACATGGTGTAAATTTTACAATGGAAGGAGTTTGGTGGCAAATGGACAACAGCTTAAAAACTTTATTACAGTAATCAATTATATAGCAGTTATGTGTGATAGGTTAGAGGGGGTAGGAGGAGGGTGCACTACATTTATCAAGGAAAATATGCCATTCAGAGTGAGTAAGGGGGAAGAATAATATATTGTGGTAGAAATATGGACAAATGAAGGATTGTTTAACATCATAAATTACTGTAACCCGTGCAGCAAAATAGAAATCAAAACTCAAGCAGAAATAAACTCAAGCAGATACAAGGACAGACTAGGAATCATATCATTGTGAGGAGGGAGAAAGACAGACACAAATGGGGAGATAATAGAACAGCTATTGGACGACAGTAATTTAGTATGTATTAATGAGAGGGATAGATGTACACACAGGTAGCACTTCAGCACTAGATTGGACACTGCAAGTGAGGTGGCAAGGAAATGTGAGTGAGAACAGGTTAGAACAGTTAGAACAGGCAAACTCGTTTTTTATATCTGGGGGATTTATTTGATACAAAGCTGACCTGGAATGAAAAAGATAAAAAAAAATTCAAAATGGTTCTTAAAGTAATGAGAATTCTCAAAGGGTCTGAATGGGGATCCAGTAGAAGGCCTTTGAGGAATATTCATATTGCTTTAATTGGATCAGTGATCAACTATGGAGCCTGTCATTGCTCGGGTCCTGATGAGGGATGGACCTAGTGGAGGTCGCCGGTCTGTCGCAGGGCTGACATGGAGGGTCACGCAACCACCAGCACTCTCACCTGAGGACCTCTCACCTTTGGGGCCATGGGTCCACCTGCTGCACATGTTGGACCACGAGGGAGGCAGGAGTGCCCGGGGGGGACCAACGCACCCTTGGAAGACCATGCCAACGTCCACGTGGAGATTCCCGGGCTGGATTCAAGCTCATGACCTGACTCAACCCCCCCCCCTTTATTTCCTTTTGTTCCCCTATATYACTTGTTCTTTCTCCATCACCCCAACCGGTCCTGGCAGAGGCCGTCCACACCGAGCTCGGTTCTTCCGGAGGTTTCTTCCTCCTGGGAGATTTTCCTCCCCGCTGTTGCTCATGCTGGCTCGATGTGGAACAAGTTGGATTTTGTGTTTCTTAAGATCCTGGACTTCTTTTGTGCAGCACCCTGAGACTACTGTTTGTTGTGACACCGTGCTTTATAAATACTTTTGATCGAGTGATTGACTCTGACCCACACTCCAGCATAGGAGGAGGCGGTAAATTACCTTGAATTTCAGGTGCCACCCTCCATTAAACACAAAGAAGGAGCGTGAAAACTGAAGGGGGCAGTAATTCAAAGCTTAGGGTGCCTGCTGCCGTGAAACGTCGGAGAAGAAGAAGCAGAGGCGGAAGTGGCCGGTCTGAGTCGCGTGTAGCAGCAGCAGCAGCAGCAGCTTTCAGACTCCAGAGCTGTGTGTGCTGCCTCTGAAGGTCTGCACACCTCTGCTCCGTCCACCCTGCTGGTGATTGTGGATCACGTTGTGTGGGTGAGTAATTGTGAGGCACGTGTAGCCGGAGTTTACCTGGTGGAGGTGTTACTGAGGGAGTTAGCTTCAGCCGGATCTGCGTTTTGTAACCTCAGCCGGTCCCCCGTCATACCAGGCTGGGCGCTGTGTTATGTGACCACAGCAGCGTCCACTCACACCACCAGCCATTAACTCTACCGAAGCTCTAAACTAGAAGTTAAACAGTCAGTGTCAGACAGTTAAATGATGCAAACCAGCCTAGTTGTAGAATTCTTTAAAACGATTGCCTCCAAACTAAGTACATTACAAAGTGACTGTCATGATTATATAATTATCTTGAAGTATGAAACAATGAAGTGCTTCTTAGTGTCAGTATGAGGTTGGGTTGTGTGCATGGGTGGAATGTGTCCACATATACATAGATGTATGTCTGTGTTCATGTCTTCAGTCCACATCTGGCTCTGACGCAGCTGTGTGTCTTCCTGTGTAGCACCATGGCCAGTGAGGAGCAAGTGGAAGCAGTGGGACGGGTTCTGGTGAACCCAAGACTGGACCTGACCCGGCGGTTCAGAGCCTTATTCACCCTGAGGAACCTGGGAGGTAAACGTCCACACAACATCGACACATCCATGAGAGAAAATTAGAGATGAAATAAAAGAAGATTCCAGCACGAGACACATCAAGCCAATTTACTCAACCAGTGCTCAGTGATGGCAAAGTGATCTTTAGACTTGAAAACATATCAAAATGATTTGCATTTCAAAAATGTGGTTCTCTGGTTGAGACGATTCAGTTCAAGCACTTGGACAGATAAATAGTGAATACCTCAGTCATGATGTGTATGAAGGACAACATAATAACAGATAATGTATGAGGAGGGGAGTTTATGCTGTTCGCACCCTTACGCCAGCTTTTTGTTATTGTCAACCTGTCAAGATATATTCAGTCAATCCAGTTTCATTTGTACAGCCCATATTCACAAATCACAATTTGTCTCATAGGGCTTAACAAGGTGGGACATCCTCTGGCCTTAACTGTCAACAAGAGCCTCACTCTGTCAAAACTCTGTTTTCAAATTCTCTGTTCGCTTCTTATCCTCTTCTTCCGATACATTAAAGGAAAAACCCATCAGTGATCTAAATATCTTTAATTTATTATATAGGCAGGGCTCCATCTGATTGACCAAATATATTGACATGCAGAGAGTGAATACAATGGTGCACGGAACACCATTCATCGCTGTTTGAGCCCTCTTTTGTGACATGTTGACATCGCGATTACGAACAATTTTTTCGATATATATTGCAGCCCTACTCTGTATCGTTTTGTTTAACTATGTGAACTGATTATATGCATTTTCTGGATGTCAGGTGCTGAAGCTATAAACTGGATCAGTAAGGCCTTCTTTGATGAGTCTGCCCTGCTGAAGCATGAGCTGGCCTACTGCCTGGGACAGATGCAGGATAGACATGCCATACCTGCTTTGATAGCTGTTCTTAAAGATGCACAGCAGGAGCCGATGGTTCGACATGAAGCAGGTAAATACACACAAACAACTCGTTATTGGGGAAGAGAAAAATGTCCGCTTGATAAACACTTGCATAGCTGAGTATCTCAAGAACCTTGGTTACAAAAAATCATAGATTCAGATTCTTTCTTTTTGTTTTTGCATTTCAGAAAATGTTCAGAAAACCAAGTGGCACTTAAATGCATCAAATTGGTTTAATGCATTTAGTGCACTAAACAGACATAACTCACTAAAGGGGAATCATGTAATAAGCAGTGGTAACAACTATTGAGAGCTGGTGTAATAATGTAAACACTACTGATTGCTTATATAATCATTTAGTAAATACTACTGAGTACTCCTGGGTCAGCACATCAACATGTTCACTGGTGTTGTGTGTGTGTGTGTGTGTGTGTGTGTGTGTGTGTGTGTGTGTGTGTGTGTGTG